AGCGGAGAAACAGAGAGAGAGATGGGGAGATGGGGGATTGGCTGTCTTGGTTGAAGAAGAACGGCGAATGGACATCCTGACAGGGTGAGGTTGATTGGTCGACCTGGATCGAAGAGTAGAAAGTGCACTTGCCCCGATTGGAGTTTCGCGCCAGCAACCAAGTTTTGGACACCAAAACCCAGTCACTGAAGATGGTCACTCTCAAGTGTTTTGATTTGAGCAAAATCCCGAAAGAAAAGAAAAGGGCTCCTAGTAGCGTCCTTGCTCCCAGTAAGAAAGGGGCGTTTGCGCCGAACATCGGTGGCTTCTTGTTTCTACTAGCTTCTTGTTACTACTAGTAAGGCACTTGTTACTAGTAGCGATGCACTTGTTACTACTAGCTTCTTGTTTCTACTAGCTAGGTTGAATTACTGAATGCCCGTGTTTCGCTTCGGGTCGGAGACATAGCCATTTTGGCTCCTGGACGGGGAGCAGGCATGGAGATTCAAGCGCTCTCTGGTGCCACGGTTTCCCAGCTTCATGAGGAGGATCTACTCTGCATGGTGGAGAGTGGACAATCTGTAAAGGATCTGAAAAAGCTCCTCGCCGGAGAGGTTGGATATTCGAGATTTCGACAAAGACTCTTCAGTGAGGAGATGGGCGAGCTACAGGATGATATGCCTGTCAGAAAGCTACCAAGTTTGCAGTTGGTAATCTTGGACTTCTGTGCACCTGAGGAGGCGAACTCGGAGGCGCTACTCCTTGCGTGTCAGAACAATCGAGTTGTTGAAGTTGAACAGTTGCTCCAGAAACCACTGGATCCCAATAGGAGAGGCACGGGCCATCCACCTGTGTTGCCCATGTCTTCCGCGGCGGCACAGGGCTATTTGGAAGTGGTACGGCTGTTGCTCGAGGCCGGAGCTGACAAGAATGCTGCAAATCAAGACGGGGCAACCGCCTTGATCAAAGCAGCTGCCAATGGCCACTTGGAAGTGGTGCGGGTTTTGCTCGAGGCTGGAGCCGACAAGATTGCTGCAAAGCAAGACGGGG